AGGACAAATCCTATCTCATGTGTTGGCATCCGGCCGCACATGCCCTGGGCGCACCATATGGGTGTGCATTTTTTTACCGTAGTCGGGCCGGGAAGTTTGAACAGGTGGTATGATTCGAGGGTATGATTCGGGGTATGATTCGGGGGTATGATTCGAGGGTATGATTCGCAGATGATTCGCAGCTTTGAAGTTGTATTGTTGGATTAGCTGGACTTCCAGCAGTGGGCCCACTCTGCGCCGAGGCAGTAGGCAATCAGCATCTGTTGGATGCTGGGCAGACTAGGCAAATGCACTCTTCCACCAAAGACTCCAGTGGCCCTTTGCAGGCCCCACCAAAGCAACCAGGATGTGGGATGGGTGGGAGACTGTGTGGAGGTGCGTGATTCGGGTATGAATCGGGCATGAATCGGGTGTGATTCGTATGGCCATGAGATTCTGCAAAAGAAGGCGGTCCTTCGGCTCTTCTTCTCAAGGGAGAGCACATGGGAACATTATGAGTACCCCTGGGATGTGAGCCTTTGCTCGTCCCACAAGAAGACACAAACAATTTTGGCCAAATTGAGTGCCCAAGAATCACACAATTGCAAACGTCATGCACCATTGGCTCGTGGACATCTACAAGGCACAAAGACCAACCAAAAACTTCACCTTAACACCTGGTTCTTACGTGTAACGTTTTGAGGGGTATGATTCGGGGGTATAATTCGAGGTATGATTCGAGGGTATGAATCGCTCAAGTCGAACTTCCAACCACTACATCAGGAAGTACACGCCAAAAAAATACAAACCCATATTTGTGTGAAAGCAAACTCATAAGCGTTCCGGTTTTCCCGTGCTATGTTTTATGAGATAGGAGTTGTGGACCAAACACTGGTCAAACAATCCATTTCTTCATGAGATCGGACATTGATTTTTTGGCATACGTCCGACTATAATTTTTGTGTCCGCACAAATTTGTCGCAGCCACCCCAACGTGTTGTCCACTGGCGCTTGCCCAGCTCCTTGGTGTACCTTGCGGCGCCCCACACAAAACAGAACAATTGCCCCAGCGCAGCTATGACAGAAAGCTGGCCCTCGCCTGTGTATCCTGCTTTGAACGTTGTTGATGTTTGTATTCTGGTTTTGGCGCTTTCAAGCGGGCCGGTGCCCAAGGAGCCTCCATCACACATCATTGCTGCTCGCTGCCCCAATTCGCAAGTCGCAAAAGTTTTATTAAAACACACGGGGACTGGAAGGCGCCCCTGAAGCCAACAACATAATACGCCAAGGAACCTTGCAATGGGAACGTACACTTCTGGGATGCTAACCCGCCAACATGCCAACATTATGACCGGCTTCCTCTTTCGCCAGAAAACATCACGGACACACACGCCGGAATCTGAAAGCGAAGGTTAGGTGGACGCCAAGTTGTGGAAGCTGGCGGGCCTCTATCTGATTGGCAGCGGGCTGGTAAGGCCGCGTTTCACCAGCAGTATAGTTGGGGGCGTAACGCGTCTCCACAGGCACACGACACATTGGGAAGACCAGCTCAAATCCAGTTCAGATGACCGCTAACTCCGCTCCGAAGACGGGTCACCGTTTTCATAGGTTACCCGTGCTCCTGAAGTTGGGCAACTTTTCTGTTGACTGCTGCACCACCTTCTTTTTCTGTCACCGCGCCTGTTCGTTGCGAATCTTGAAGGAACTTTGAAAGTGGTTGATTTTCTCAACGGACCCCTTGAGCAAGGTCGTGCTCGGGTTGATGAACCCTCATGGATCTGGACAATTGGTCTTCCGATCTTTTCGTCGCGCGTAGATGCGTTTCTTCATGTTCTCATCTTTTGCGTATGTCAATCTATCTACGATCAAAACTCGCATGTTTCGCATCACCAACTCACCCACAACGGCCTCCACTGAAAAACCCAGAAGCACAATTTAAATTGGACGGTTTAGAAACCATTAGCATCATCTGCCCACCACCCCTTATAACTCACTCCGTTCGCAGAAATCAAGCACATCTGGTCCGTTTTGTTGCCCATGTGTTTTCTCTTTTCTCCTGTCTACCTGGCAAATTACCGCTAAGATCCTGCATAACCAAGTCACTCAAAATGGCCTCCACCAAAACTTGCTAACATTTGCTGACACCATTAAGTTTGCTGGGCTTGGGAACAATTGGCACAGTCTGCCCCCCCTTTAGAGAAACTAACTTCAGCCTGCCCACCGGCTGGCGTTTCAGAAACACGATAAATAACACTAGTTACCCAACACCAGGCGTCCCAGGCCTGTCCATTGGTTGATTGTTTTGTTTTGTTTTTCCGGTTTTGTTTGAGCTGACCGTATAAATGCCTGATATGCAAAGCAAAGTCCCAAGCACAGCGCACGCACAGTCCCCAGGCATGCCACAATTATATACCAGGAGAGGCAAGGATATGAAAAACATACTCGTTATTTAACACTTCGCTTTCAAAGTTTACTAGCATCATCGTGGACGTGATTTCCGCTTTGCCCTACCACAGGTCCTGCCCTAAGAAACCATCCAATGGTCAATCAATGATGTGTCTCAACACAAGAATGCAGAGACGGGCCGGAAGTTTTCCTGGAAGACTTGTTGACAATGATGTTCAAAACATAGCCCACGCCCCCTATAGGAAGTGGATACGCGCTGCCAACTGCAGAGGGCGGAGTTTGGCTTGGCAACTGGATGCAAAACCTAAACCTGCCGTCATTGCCAAACTTGGTGGGGTCCAGTGCGCAAATGACATTCCCAGGAACATGTGAAGTGACGGGGTCGAAGGTGAAAGCCAGAAGCTGTCTCGCAAGCCAAGAATCAGCAGCGCTGTATGTGCCGCTAGATGCTACCACGAGGTTCTGAAATGCCACCATAATGGGTGGACATTCCCGCCTGGTGGTACCTCAGGAGTCGCAGTTCAAATCGGCGAAGTTTGTAACGTGAGTTGACACTTTGCGAAATGGAGGCCGCGCCGGTGAGCACGTGGAGCGCAACCGTTTTGATGGTGACATATCGGATAGATCACCCACAGCAGTCGCAAGCTGTGGGCTGCCGTTTCATGACAAGCACTGTGACGTCGGTTGATCCTAACAAAGCTGGTGACGTCCCACGTCGCCAGGTTCTTCTTCGTGGTCAACTCTTTCGAGGACCGGGGGCACCCAGTAACCGGATGTCACCGGGGTGAGGATAGGGACGTTGGAAACCAATCGACATTGCCTCAGTAGTCCCGCCAAAGGGCTGCTGCGATCTCGTGGCCCGAAGCCGCGGGATCCGCGGGCGCCGCGGCAGCGGCCGGCGGCGACAGTGCGAGAGCCCACAGTGGCAGATGGCGAAGCGGCGAAGCGAGGAGAAGCTCATCGACCGCTGGAAGCAGTGGAAGCGGGCACGTTGAGGTTGCCAACCGTGAGCCGCGGAACGTGACCACATCGTGGGCCGCGGAACGGAAGAGACGGGCGATGGTGAGAACTGTGCCCGAAACTGCACCTGGACAGCACAAGTAGACAAACCACCAAAAGACTTAGCACAAAGAGGGCCTGCAAGGAGCAAGTGCCAAGTCGCACACCAAAAAAATGAATTGGAACTGCTCATGGAGACGGAGATGCAATCAATGATCAGCACGCAGCGGCGCTGCTGACTTTCTGTTAACATGACATCGTCGCATCACATCTTATCTCAACTTGGGACCAAGTATGCCAAAAAAGGCAAACTGTACTGCAACACCACATCGAAGTATGGCAAGACCTGAACAGTTGTTCTCAGCAACGCTTTGCATCTTGGGCACATACCACGTATAAAGCTTCGCCCGCACAAGTGATGACATCAGCACTATGCACACAAACCCTCCAGCTATCTTCATTTTAGCTTCTTGATTTGCATCTCACGTGGGGGATCATAATCTTAGACTCTTAGACTCCTTCCCTCTGTTGCGTAGCGCTTTGTTGCTGTCGTAATTGTTTTATGAAGAAAGGGCTGGATGTCGCCACATTCATTACAGTAGTACAGTACCAGGATTGGAGAGTTGTAAAGGAAGAACCAAAAAGTTGGAAGGGCGGCCAGCGGGCCAGGCCGCACACTCTCGCTTCAGTTCAAAAGAATTGATCCTCTTGCCAGAGCCCGACTGGCTTATACATGCCACAACCTCTTTCTGCCAGCAACACCTACTACACCCCTTGTAGACGTGTCTTCTTTCGACCCAGCCGGAGTCGGGCATGGCGCAGGCACTCGACAGGACACACAACGGCGCTGATGCAAGAAAAGTAGAAAAGGAGGCTCTGGGGATGTAAATATGCCTCCACCATTAATTTAGCGAAGTGGCCCACAATTCACGATAACAGAATGCGATGGAATCAGAAATATGCTTCAAACATCTTGGAAGACAAGGCTTCGGGAAAAGCGCTGCTTGACGCCTGAAGTCAACTGCAACGCTGCAGAAACTACAAGCCAGCTCGCAGGTGCAGAGACGCAAAGAAGTGGCATCAATATTGAACAGCGGGTCGCGGTTGCTCGTGACATGAGCCATGGTGCTGATCGCAGCGACGTCGGCGTGTGGTCGCACAAAGGCATGGACTTCTCGAAGGCAACAAGCAAATCCGGCGGCTTGGAGCAAGGACGCTACTAGGGGCTCCTGGCCTTACTACTAGGAGCAATGTTCGCTACTAGGAACAAAGGGCATCGCTACTAGGCGCAAGGACGCTACTAAAGAGGCCACCGGCTTGGCCACAACATGTGTTTCTGACCGGGAGGGAGGTGGAGTGGATGGAGTTTCCGTCGCACCTGTGATCAATAGGACTGAGCAAGCGCTGCACGGTGGCGGCGAAAGGCGCTGGAGTGAGTAACGGCTACAGGTCGCCTTTTCTTGTCCTTCTGAGCACGATTCAGGCCTCAGGACACTGCTTTGCAGTGCCCCGTGATCATACCTGCTACACTCGATAGCGTATGCTCCTGCACGCAGCAAGGAGACTGTGTAAGTATTCCACTTCTGTGGTGTCATGGCACGCAACTCAGAACATCTTCATACACTCCTTACCTGGCACAAGTTATATTGCGCGCATTCAGTTCCAGAAGTCTTCAGGACAACACGTGAATCCGCTGTGAACTCCACAACTTCTCCATTTGCCTCGAGGATTTCTGCACCAACAACGACGCTTCCATCTTCGTTCAGTACCTAAGTTTAGGTGAGTTCCACTGCAGGCGAGAATTTGCCAATGAAACATGCGACAGTCACCAGTCACCAGTCAAAGTTGGGACCGACATCTTAAGTCTCTGCCAAGGAGCATCCTTCAGTAGGCAAAGATCATGCCTTTCCAAGCAAATTCTGCTACAAAATGAACCAACTGAGGATACATCTTCAGTCTTCTTATGAGTCTTTTGTGCAAAGAAAGTGCAGGCACCTTCCTTGGTCGCGGCCACCTCTGGCAGTGTTGGCCTTTGGGCTGTGTTTTCAAAGCGTTTGGCGCCGAATCTATCTCAGGCGGGGTTTCCTGCCTCTAGGACGGGCGAGTACCTGTTGCCCGCGAACAGCCGGAACCTCATCCAAAACGTCAAAACCAAGCAGTGCAAAAGAGTTGCTTTGCTCTTCACAGGATGGACTGCTCGCAGGATCGTTCCGTATACCGAGCAAATCCCAGCGAGACGCACCGAGGCCGCACCGAGCCTGACGTTCACGTTTGGCACTGTGCACACCAAATAGAGACCTGCAGCAGGGAGACGACTTTTTTCGTTGGCTCAAACTTCATCGCCAGTGAGTCTCGAGCTGCAGGAGCCATCCGTCTGTCGCAAGGGGCTGCCATCAGGGAAGAACTTCAAGCGGCAAAAAATGCCGGCCACCTCTCAGCCAAAGATGGAGTGCCGGCTGCTCCAAAAACACCTTCTGTCCAAAAAAACATGTTTGGTGTCCCAACAAGTGAAGAAGTTCTTCGGACCCTCCATCGACTGGTCACAAAAATGACCCAAAATGGCGAATTTCCGCCTCCATCTCTCCTGTGGTGAGCACCCCATTGGTGCCTGGTGCTCCGACCTGCCCAAGACCAATTTGACCAGAATCAAATCATTGGTGCAGCAAAGAACGAGTCTTGTACTGGCCTCCCTCAGCACCTTTGCAGGCAAAGCCCACTCCAACTGGCAGCGTCACTCAGGAGTGAAACATGTGGACCAAATTCAACGAGTGGAAATGCCCAACATAGTATGCCAGCCCCCAAAACCCCCAAAAAAAGGACCGCCACACCAAACAAACCTCTTTGGACGGCCAGAACTGGCCTCCTCTGACCTCCGGTCACTCGCTCGGTGCCTCACCTTTGGCCCAATCACCGCTGGGAAGCCTGGAGTCGTCGAGCTTCGAGATCCTGTCGAAAAACGAGGAGGACTCAAGGGATCCTGTCGCCCATTGTGTTGGATACATTTGGGCGAAATGTCAACAGCAACCATGATGTCATTTCACTACCCTACAGTAGGTGTACGTTGATATGATTCTTTCCAACAAACGGTTCTCGTTTGTATCACTTCTTCCCTTCTCGTTTGTATCGAAACGCTCCAGCTGTCCTCTTGTGGGACCCTCTCGTGGTGTGATTGATCTAGCTACCTCACAGGCCAACACAGTCTGCTGCGGGTCTCACAACCATTTTTGGCCTTGATCTGCAAATGTGTTCGAGTATTTACAGTAGTTGCTGTCGAAATATGTTTTGTCTTTGACCTGCTCTCTTCGCAGTCCTTGGTGAGCTAGGATCCCTTGTGACTTCTTGGTACAGACCTTCCTCAACTCCTCAACATGCTCAGTTGACCACAGCCTGCCCATCAGCACTCTTGCGAGAGTCCGGAGTCTTCTTTCGGCTGCTTCCTGATAGCACGCGCTCAAATGGGAAGAGTGCAGCCCATTTTTCTATGCACTGGGGTCTTCGTGGGGCTTGGTGTTGGTCGGGCTGGTGTGCGAAAACAGGTGCACAGCTCCCCGTCGGTTTTCTGAGGTCCATGGCTGGGTGATTTGGAGGTCGCCAGGACCGCCATCTTCGCGGCGCTCTTCACCGCAATCTTCTTCGGCTCCGCGCCGCCGAAGAGACCTCCCACGGACGGACTCCAACATGCTCCAACCCCCCAAAGCAATGGACCACTCACTTCCGCCTTCCAGAAGGCCGCCAGAGGATGCCACTGCTGGCTCCTGCCGATCAACTAGTCTTGACGTGGGGCAGTATGAACAGTCTAGCAGCTGTATAGCTCATTATTGGGCTCTTGCTGAGGAATGAACCATCTTCGTCCATTTTCCAGAATGAGCATGTGACCATGTGCGTTGTCTTCATCTGACAGTGGATGGCTATCCAAGTTGTATCCAAAAAGGCGCCCCAGTCAGCCCTTCCTCTGCAATCTCCGGTCTCCCAAGAGATAGCTCTCTGCGGATATGAACCACCTCAAGAGTTGATGAGTTGACTTGACTGACCTACTTAGAGATTGCTGGGATGCCAATCGAAGATCCTTGCCTGCCGGCCAAGCCCTTCTGCTTCTCGGCTGAGGATCTCCAAACGGCCACGGTCCTGTTCAGGAATTTGAGGAACGGAACCTGTCGCGGTATTAGCTCTTGTATATTACTCTTGTTATAGTCTTATGACCACATTGTATTTAAAAACATTAACAGTCTTTAAAGCACACTTGAACCGTAATGTTATTTGCTGCTCAATCTGCTGAGGGGGATTCGTGGAAGAAAGAAACAGAAGGCAGCGGAGGGTGGAGGGAGGAACTACATGGACTGGGGAGTGGAAATAAAATCAAAGGGTATTGCAAAAGGAAACACAATTGCGAATAAAAGCACCCGATGGAAAGGAAACATTGGAGAGAGGAAAGAGGAACTGAAAGAAGAATGAAACAACGAGCAACTGCATGGCGACAAAGAAATTAGGGTAGCTCAGGACTGGAGTTATCTTGAGTACAGTCCCACATTGTTTCCATCTGCTGCGTTGAAATCATGGTAGACCGTTGGCTGCAACTCCGCAAACTCCATCTTGACCCAAAGCGCGTGGAATCCGCCCCAGAAAAGCGAGTGGAAGCGAGTCGTACTGGATCGCAGCTGGCGAGGCCCTTTTCTCGGACGCAGCTTTGCTGTGAACTTTCGGGACCAACGAGCGAAGAAGGGGAACGAGACCTGGTGAAACTGTCCTTGCCAGACGGAGATCTTCTTTTATTTCCCGTGTTTAAGAAACCGGTTGTGTTCCGTTCTGAATTGCATCACCCGAAACGGCCCGAAACGTGGGTTGGGCGACTCTGCTGACTTTCGCTCGTCTTAAAATCTGGAGACTGGCTGCTTTGCAGGACTCCAGAAGTTTTACAGGCCCACTCCATACAGGCTCACAGTGCACCAGTAGAGAAGCTCACACCCATGGGACGATAGAACCTGCCCACTCATTTGTTGTCGGAGGCTCTTCTCATTGTGATCCGGCAAATGAAAAGTCAAGACTGATTCCAAGCTTTCCAACAAAATCTCTGAATGTAGGTTGTGTTCAACCATGGCAGGCAAACTGCGACTCGATGAGCGGTCGGTGGGCAAAAGGCGACGACTTGTAGGTCTTCCTCGATGCGAAATGGTATTAAAAAGAGTTCGATGACCTCCAACCTAATAGCGATGGCCTCCACCCTAGTAGCGATGGCCTCCAACCTACTAGCGATGGCCTTCCAACCAAACATCACTCAGGCCAATTCTTCAACACCTGTTGGTTCCTGAACAGCACAGTTGGGCGATTGGTGCGATTGTACGGCCCAAGTGGCGTGGCTGGCCCAGCGGTCCAGCCGATCTCCTGTGCAGTGGTCATGGCTCGGCCATACCTGTCTCAAATCAAAGCAGCGCAGAACGCAGCAAGAAATGTCAAATCCCAAAGAAGCAGACTTGCCTTTCGATCGGACCCCCCTTGGTCCTTTCGAGCTTCAAATAGGCACCTAGATTGCAAACTTGCCACAGATCTGCAAAACACTTCTCCCAAAATGCAGCGGTGATAGTTCCAGTTGCAAACAAGGAGCCTCTACCTTGGCCTAAGGACACTTCATCAACTCAAGAAATTAAGTGCTTGGCGCATGTATACTTAATATTACTTTGTGCTACTTCGATCAAGTTGCCTTCTGCAGACACGCCAAAGCGCAAGATCTTCTGTGGATCTGCATTCAGGCCTTGGAAGGAATCACTAAGCGTGACGCGACGTGTTTCAGATTTGACATACAACAGCACACTCTGCTGAGCTCCAGAGTTCGTCCATTCTCGCACTTGTTATACATTCGGTTACATTAAACAAGGTCTTTGGTCAACTTGCCTCATGCAACAGGACCAAAGCTGGTTTCCAAATCTTACCAGTCACGATCTAGCTTTACCCAGTGGACATGTTCAGCAGAGCCACGTGGCTTGCCATCGTGTGGGTGTGGGTTAGGGAAGTGACCCAAGGACTGCTCCAGCCTGAGGAAGAAAATCAACATGAATGAGGCAGCTTGGATCTGCTTGGCAAATCGAAACCAAAACACAGCTCTCCACATCTACCGCTTGAAATCTTGCGGAACCCCAGGCAGACAAGTTGCTGAGAGACTTGGCACCTGAAAAAAGGCCGCGGATCCATCGAAGGACTCCATCGGATCCATCGGACCGGGTCGTTTGGGGGTCGCTTGGGGTCGGACGCCTAGTAGCTTCTTGTTACTAGTAGTAAGGTCAGGAGCCCTTAGTAGCGTCCTTGCTCCTAGTAGTACTGTAAGGCCAGGAGCCCCTAGAAGCTTCTATCATGTTTCCTCCGTGTTCGCATCCCAGGAGCGACTTTTGCTTCGGCACGGACATACTCCTCTTGACCTGAAAGGGGTGAGGTCATACGAAGAGGTCATGGGGCTCACGAAAGCCCCCGAAACAAGGACAAACAAGGTTTCGGACATCAAAAGGATTGAAGCCTACAGCAAGGATGCTAGAGCGTGTACAGTAGTCTATGGGGGATAATCTCAAGTTTCGTTACCAAGCCAGCAACCACTGATTGATTCCAAAGTACCGAAATGCCCAAAGCTTCTTCTTGAGCCTTCTTTTTTGCCCGCTGTTCTTCTCGAATCTTCTTGTATTGCCTCACAAATGCAGACAACAGCACAAAGACAGTCGAGCTCAGTGTTCCAGCTGTGGTTCAAGCAACCCTCATTGGTGAAGACTTTGGCTTCCTGATTCTCTCTACACAGCACGAGTTGCTTATCCTCTTTCTCGATGGTCTCACCGAAGACCTGTGCAACCATGTAGTCCTAGGCTTGGAGCCACAAACAAACCATGCCGTGTTATTATGCAGTTATACAAACATTTCTATGAAAAAAGGAACAGAAAAGCATCACAGCTGTGCTTGCAATTTGGAGTCCATAGCCATGGCTTCGAAAGTGCAAGACACTCACTGCGGCTGAATGCGGGTGACTTGGTGAACTGCTCAGCTTGTGTCTTGAGCAAATGGCACAATACGTGGCAAAGGGTCCAACTCGATCAATACAAGCGTTCATAAGTCAAGAGCACGGCAACTGTAAGTTGCGGAGTCCTTTCAAAAACAAATACCACCCCCGCAAAAAAATACTATATATATAGATATAGATAGATAGATAGATAGATAGATAGATAGATAGAAGTGTATTCACAATCCGGTCCTCCTGGTGCTCTGATCTCAGGGAGTGCATCGAAGCACTCAACTCAGCTTGAGAGGCAGGCCAAGCCTAATAGTAGAACTTTCTCAATCCCACATGCCGATCGTGTCGCGTTTCGGTGACTCAAAGACTCCACAAATGCCGATCGTGTCAGGTTGCATCGATTGTCGATGCCTTGCCTCTAAAGCTGCAAGGCGTCGGGATGCCACTGGCGAGATGTCGTGCTAATTGCGTGCACAAGCAACGCAGCACGCACTGAAAACCGGCTGACGCATGCAAAGATACACAAGAAGCATGTACCATCCATGACCATCCTATGGTTCCAGTGCCATCCTATGCCTTCTCACTGCGAGTCGACATGGTTCGCCTACCCAGTTCTCCTTCGACTCGCGAACCACTGTCGCGACCTGGCGAACTTTCGGCACCGCGGTGCGAGCTGAACCGCACACCGAACAGCATGGCCCATGGCCATCCGCCTCTCTGGACACATCGGCGCGCAAATTGGCAAAACGCTCTTCCAATCCACGGACCACGAGCTGGGTCACCTCAAAGCGAAGCCCAGCTCGTCACAATTCTGGGGGCACCTGTCTGCTGGTATGTCAGTGTCAATGATTTTCCATTTGCCCCCAACAGGCTTATTCATTGCTCGCAACTCTCAACTGATCCCAATTGCCTGCTCTTGAAGGTCACTGACCTGGGCCTTGAGAGCCAGAACCTGTGGGGGTTGACTGACAGATATCGAAGCTACAGTCTGGTCAAGATGTCCACAAGTGCAACTCTGACACTGCTCTTCGGGCGGTTTTATGAGTCACTTAAGCATGTTCAGGAATTCAACAGGCCTCTCTTGACTTGAAGGCACCGTCCTGGTGGCCAACGCTGAGTGATCACCACGGCCCCAACTTATACTTGCACATGGGCGCTTCCAATGGGCGCCTGGTCTCCGGGCTGTGTCTGGACAACTTCCACAAGCTCGGAGAGCCTAGCTGCAGAAAACGTACGCAAGTGCCACCATCCACTGGACGTCAAAGAACAGTCAGTTCAGCATGATTAAGCAGCCCCACTTCTTCACTTCAGCGCGAACGGCCGACAGCCCTTCTTGCATGGCTTTCATTGCTTTCATGTGCCTCAGCTCTGGTCCGGGCTGCCTGAGACGTGCATCCTCATACTCATATGTGAAGAATAGAAACATGCCGGCCGCTCTGCTGAAACAGCGATGGGACGTGGGTCGCACGCATGTCGTGGATCTCGTTGCGAATGGCCTCGCGCAATGCATGAGGGACGACGAAAACAACCAGTGCACAGTGTAGATGGAGTAAAGCTATTTTGGCTTGGCCTCAGCTTCTTGACGCCAGTTTTTCTGCAACAGGACACGCTGGAACTTGTAAGTGAATCACAGGATACCAGTACCTGTCCTCCAAATGCTCCTTCTGGTCCAAGTCATTGAACCTCCACAAGATAGGTTCTCAAACGTTGTGTTCTGGGATTCCACCTTAATGTTCACAAGTCGCTGCATTTTGAAGATCAAATTGTTGGTTGCCTCTCTGTGGATGTTAGATTGCAAATACAGTGCAACATGTTAAATACATTCAATTACAAACCAACAGTAGTTGGTTCCGCGAGTGTCCAGTCCGAACCCCCACACATATCACATATGGCGCTTGGAACATGGCCAGGGAACCCTCCAACACTAAATCTACCGGAAGGGGAGTCACAAACGACGGGTTGATGAAACAATGTGTTGCCGCTGAAGAAAGCCGATACCAAAAAAATGATGCAGATGATGCAAGCAGCATCAAAAACATAACTTGCATTTCTTAAACCTACAACGCTAGTCCTAGCTAACCGGCTGAGGCTTCTCTTCTTTCAAATTTTATGTTGTAGCAAGAGAAGATTGGGGCCTGTGGCTGAGGGCTGAGATGGCTTCATCACACTCCAGCCAGACAGTTACCACAGGTCTCGCCTCGCTTCCACCTCGCGAAAGTTTGCCTGAGCATGCTGGAGATCCTGCCGCCGCTGCTGCACCAACCTGAGGCGGCCAAGGGCCGCCGCTGCAAGCTCCGGGTGGACGCCCCGAATCGAAAAAAAACAACTGAGGGCTGCACAAGTCGACCTAAGGGCACAGCCAGCTACTGGGGCTTTAGATCTCCTGCTATCCCAAGTTGTTTTTGCCCGGAAATGCACTGACAGGTTTTGGTGGCAAGTGGACGGCTCTGGACAGCTGGCAGCCAAATGATGGTCCAAACATATTCAATTCACGTGAGCACTAGTATTTACGTGTGCCAAGCTTGACATCGTGGGTGTGTAAATACCGTGTCAGCCAGATGCACGAGACAGCCAATCGTTCGCCGTCACGTGCGACGTACGTCTTGAATACATTCGAAGGCCCAAGGATCGAATTGATGGCAGTTGAGCTTGGTCAGCCTCCTCTCCTTTTGAGGTTGCTCCCTTTTTTGTGATCTGCAAGTGGAGCGAGCCTTTTTTTAAGCATGGTTTGAGATGATCGTGAAGCTGTCACCGTCCACTTTTGCCCTGTGAGACCATCTTCGACATCTCCGTTCAGCTTAGAAAAGCAAATGAGGTCTGAACCATTTTCTCCAATTGCTCTGTTCGCCGGCGGTCTACCTCGTTTGAAGCCGAATCGATTCCTTGTTGCCAGCACTTTGCTGAAATGAAGTGGCGGGCTTTGCAACCATGCACGGGCTTGCCTGCGAGGTTGCATCGGCAGCTTGTAGTGACGCCAGCTCCTCCTTTGATAAGGAAAGCAGAACACCAGAAAACGCCAATTCAAGATCCAAACAAAATGAATTCGTCCAAAACAAACAGAATCTGAGGTGCCTCCAGCTTGGAGCATCGGTCGCCCAAGAGCTTCACGGAACGACTCACCTCGAGCAGCAAGCGCAAACGGTTCCGTTTTCGCTCGCTGCGCTCGCTTCTCTTGGGACGTTGTGTCAGAGATGGGAGTCAGGTGTTACTTGACAGGCTTCTTTCAAGAAAGCCCGCCTCGGCTCTCCTCTTAACTCTTGTACTCAAATGCTGACTTGGCGCCTCGTCGATCATCTTCTTCATTAAGGCATCAACATTCTCCGGCTTCAGAGCATGCAACTCTGTTATCTGGGCGCCAGCGCTAGCGGCTGATGGGAATTGGAGCAAGGGAAAACTGCTTGTCCCTAAATGTCCGTTAATGGGTCAGCACCTGGCTCTGGGTCTTCTCTATTCGATGCTTGAGGTCATCAACTATCCTGGCCTGTCAGGCATTTCTTGCCTGAATGATGCTTCATCTGAGAATCCAAACTTGAAAAGGTTAATCAAAGCTTTAAACTGTCAAAAGATTCTGTGGGCCTCGACGTGACCACCTTCCTTGGAGGTATTGTTGCCTGTGTGCAAACCCAGTCACATTCGAGATTGAAGCGATGCGAGGAGCTACGCAAAGGTAAGACCCTGGCGTTCCTTTGACAGCAACTCTCTCCAGATTTTCTTTACCTGCCACTCTAGTAGCGTCCTTTGCTCTGTTCGTAGCTTCTTGTTACTAGTAGTAAGGCCAGTAGCCCCTAGTAGCGTCCTTTGCTCCTGCCAACACCCCCCATGCTGTTCAGGAGGCAATTTCACCCATGATACAGTACAATTTCACCGACGCCTCCTCCTCTACACGAGCTATTGACTCCTGGACGGTGCAGTGCCCGAGACTCGTTCGACATTCCAAAGGAACGGACTTCGCCAGTGAGCAATGCAAAAGCCATGCAAAGCCTCTGCTCTCTGCGCCACTGTGGTGCTGCGCAGGGTCCAAGCCTTTGCTCTTCGCTTCGGAATGCGAAGAAGAAGGAAGCGAACACAGCGAAAAGGATCCGATCGCGTCACGCGAGACTCTCGTTCGGTTCTGAGGTCGCGGCATCTTCCAAGACGTCAATCCGCGCCTCGTCGAGTGGACACCGCTCAGCGAGACACAACTCACGGGCCGTCGAAACCCGACCTTCAAGCGAAGAGTCTCGTCGTCAAAGCTCTCGGTCCGCTGACCTCCAAACAGACACACCGCTGTGCTTTACGACCGCAGTAAGATGTACGAGTACAAGTTGTAAGGGGTTCGAGCAAGTTCCAAATTGTCTTTCCAAATTTCGATGAACGAACCTGACACTGCGGAGCCTGCTGCCTCAAGCAGGCCGCGACGGGGTATTGAACTCAAATGCTTCAACTTGCATCTCTGCGCCCTATTGTTTTTTGCAGACTCTAGTCTGGAAGATGAAAGTCTCTCCGCTAAGACACAAACGCCATCCAGTGACAGCAGCAGGACTGAACATGCCTGCAAAGCACGTGAGCAAAGCACTTAACAGCTGAGGCAGGCTTGAAAATGGTTGAAATGCCTCAACGTCCTCTTTGGCACGTTGGAGGTCTACCTGAAAGGAACACATCTCCAAAGCTACCTGAAAGTCTAAATCAGTTCCAGCAGGAAGAAGCGCTGAAGCAAATATATCAGCCTCAATCTGTCCCACTCGCTCCTCCAATCCTAAACGCTTTTCCTCCTGGGCCACTCAACAAAAACAAAGAACAAGAAATCACCCCATGTGGATCAGAGAAAATTCCATGCATGTCCTGCACCTGCTCCGCTTCCATGGCATTGCTACTCTACAACGGGCAAAAAAACAATCAATCCTTGAATCTTTCAAACAACAACTCCAGAACTTGTCAAATCCTTGTGCCACTAGTTCACCAAAGACCATCTCCAATTGGAACAAAAAGAACTTCACAACCTTTTTCTGAGTTGCCAAAAAGCGAACGGTCCGCGTCCGAGCAAAGTTCAAAGTGCTGTCCTGGTTTGTCAAACTTTTGTCCAACAAGCACAACGCGGTGCGCAGAAAAAAGATTTCGGCACCCCGATCTTTTCTCTGCTCAAGCTTGCCCCAGAACGCGGTCTCGCTCCACACTTGATGTTGTGGGCAAATTGCACATGCTTCGTCACAGCCAAACTAGTTTTGGAGAACTTTGTCGAGCTCGCTACACGAAGCACAGATTGTCCATGTTGACCGTCGTGAGCTCTAACGGAGAGTTGCAGGAACGGGGACGAGCTGGAGATCTCCGTGTTCACCGTCTGACATGCTTGGTGACTGGCCTCTGGAAACCATCAAGTGGAGGGTCACCCTGTCCGAAGATCGTATATAAAAGGGCCCCAGTCAAAGGAGGAAGAGGTCAGCTATCCAATCAGTTGGGAAGCGTGACTGAGGTTTGAAAGACCATCCCGGCTTCGCAGCCTTCAGGGATGATCAGTTCATAGTGTGCGCCCAAATACTCCACCAGCAAGACCTCTCCAGCTGTCATCCCATCAGGAACGACCACGTCAATCTGCTGAACTCCCCCATTGCTACGCCGCACTTCCTCAAACATGACACCCAAGAACGTCTCATAGTCCTCACTCTGTTGCTGTAAAGTCCGGGAAGATTAAAAAAAATACCTACAGTAGACCGACACAGAAAAAGGAAATACATTTGAGCACATTTCTCCTTGCGAGGCAAGGTTCTAGTGATGCTGTAATGGAAGAGAGGAAGGGGTACAAGCCCTCCGTATCGTCTTCGAAAATCTCTGCATTCACTTTCAGCCAATCACAAAAGTTTGCAAAATCATCTTCCAAAACATCAAAGCCTTGTAGAACATCAGCCAGCTGTCTTTCAAAGAGTTCCTTGTAATGAAAATGGTACTGTGTCCAAACCAGCGGGTGGGAGCCATCAGTGCAAGTGGCAGTAAAGAAATGAGAATGCTGCGATACAAACCTCAAGTACAAGGATGCCATGCAAGACTGAAACTGTTGAAGGCTGGCATTCGAATGCACCTTGCTTTTTACAAAGCTCAGGGTCAGTAGCAACATGCACATGAATTCAAGGCTATTCAAGTCAAGTGGCTCCCGCACGCGCACCATGAATTCTCCATCTTGGAAGGCTTGTAGGATAGGCTCAAAGCTAGATCCACCATGAGCGGTGAGCCTGGAGAGCTGCGAACGGGAGTCTTTTGCAAAAAGCTGCCGTTCTTGCCGGCAGCAAGCAAGTACCGCGCACACGCACACACACTTGAGAAGGTTGCTCCGTAGAGCGCGATTTCAGGCTGCTTCGCGGAGGGCATTAGCTCTTTGAAGTTACTGCAGGTTAGACCTTGACTGAAAAAATGTGCAAAGTCCGAGCAACAGTATGGTTGAACAAGAGTGCAAGTGAAATGATTCAAACAATTGGAGAATTTGCAGGTACGCTGGGATGATCAGTCCCAGTATCACCAGGAAATCGAGAGTGTATTCGTTGGTGGCAGACTCTCGTTCCTGCTGCCACCCCCTGCGAGTGTTCTGTACAGGTGGTTGGAGGAGAATAGTAGGAATAGCTAGAGTAAGGCCCTTGGAAACAGGGGTGGACACACACAGAGAGCCGAGTCCGGCGCAGTAAGAATCAGCCAAAAAATCAAATAAATAAGAATAGCAATGTGTTGTGCCGACAATCTCGCTCTTTTCGACGTGGCCGCAGCGCCGCGGCGCAGTGTTCGTAGGAATGACCTTTTGTCATATAAAGCTGCATCAACTGTTGGGAAGTGGTCGGGATCAAATGCTGGGGATAGGTGTATTAACGTAGTGTGTGATGTCGTGATCGTAGGCCTGAAAGCCGTAATCTGTGGCTTCCGGCGGACTGTGGGTCGCGAATCTGCCAGGGGTGTGTGGGAAGCTGAAAAGTGACGGTTCTGTTGAGCGGATCAATGTGGAAGCCGAGTAGATGGTCGTCGTCCACTGGCTCTATTTCAACCGGATGTTCGTAAAAATCAGGGGGGGCAAGTGTGGTGATAGGTAATGTTTGTCGGAACTGTTCGTTGAGAAGGATGTAGCGGTTGTCAACGTAGCGTGTATTGAAGAGGTGAAGGCTGGGTTGTTGTAGGAACTCGTGATAGGTGGTGTGCCAAGTGTGTTCAATGAGTGTGATGGCAACGTTGCAAAGAGCTGGTGAGAGTTGGCTGCCAATGCCGGCGCCTTGAATTTGTTTGTAGTAGGAGTTGCAAGCTTGGAAAATGCATGATTGAAGTGCATGTTGGACAATAAGAGGGATGTGTTGTGCGTCGATTGCACGTTGCTGCGGATGGTGGATGTAGTGCCTGCCGATGTGTGAGTGTTGGATGGGATTGCCTGTGGATTGTACATCAATGCTGAGAGTGGTGGTAGTGTGTTGAATGCGCCAGCGAGTGCAAAGGCTTATTACTGCGTCAACCAATCGTTGTTGCGGTACGCTGTTGAAAAAGCCGACGAGGTCATCGTTGATGGCGGCGAGGTGAATGTCTGCTGGCGTTTCGTGGAAGTGTGTGTGTGTGTAGGCGTTGCCAGAGTTTGGGAATGAAAAGTTGGCCCGGATGTTGAGGTAGGAGATGTAGTAGCATAATGTCTAGCGCTTTGGGAGTGGCTCGCAGGAGCGTGCCAGCGATGGATCGGAAATAGCTGATGACTGGTCGTGGTGGGGAAATGCAACAGTTTGCTGAGCGCATGCAAGTGTAGGATTGTTGTGGACGTGGTGGCGGCGCTGTGAATTGTTGAAGTTGGGTCTGGGGAAAGTCAGGCGTCACCGGTGGTGGGGTGGTGTTGGTTTGTGTTGAATCGTGTGAAGTGATGTTGGTAGTGGGAGGTTGCGCTGGGTGTGGCTGTGCGGTACCCTGTGGAGAAGTGTATGGGTGCATGAGGTCGGTTTGAGTGATGCTGGTGATTGGATCATCGGCTGGGTCAGGCAAGACAATGGGAGTGCCTTTGCCCTTGCCTTTGAGCCGTCTGGGTGATAGTTGACCAATGGCATCGATGCGTCCCAGGGCTGCGGTTAAGTCATCTGCGGCATGATCGACGAGGGCACGGATCCTGAGAATGCGGTCCAGCAGTGGTTGTGGCAAATGTGGGCATGTGGTTTCGTCAAAATACATCGTTTGCTGCAAAGAGTGCAATTGTTCTCGGCTGTGGTAGAGGCCTGCGCGAAGGCTGTGTTGCGATGTGTAGACGCCGTAAAGGTGGGCTGCGGGCGTACCATGGGCCCATTGCCAGAAAGCTGCTTCCATCACTGCTGATGCTGAAAGTGTCGACACGAAAATGGGAAATGGTTTTGAATTGGAAATAGCTGAAGAGAAATGTACAGCATTGTCGGAAAGACTTTGATGGTGTAACTGGAGCGCCTCTGCAACAGTGGACAAGATTGACGATTGAAAAATTGTACATTGGAACAAGGAAAGCTGGAAATCGGCAAAGGACTGTAGGTGCAGAAGTAGAAGAAAGGCTGGTTCAGCAAAGTATAGAAGTCAAAGTTTTTCACACGAAAGGATATGGTGAAACGCGCTGGGTGAAACCTCCCGATACTGTTGATCGGAGTCGAGCTGTCGGCCGTGTATATATGTGTTGTTGTCGTGTAACAGTGTTGTGATGGAAATTGAGATAGTAGTGTTGTTTAGGATTGTGGTAAGTCAGTGGATTGATTTGAAGTGGTATTGAAAGTGTTGAAGTAAACAATGTGAGTCAATGTGAGTCAAGGGTATATGGTTTTTGTATTGGATTGTATTGGACTGCATCGTATGCCGCTCATGGCGTAGGATCTTCTTCTGCTTGTCGAGGAAATAGTAAGCGTTGCGGTGGTGGAAATGGTGGTTGTTTTGGTCGTATTGTATAAGGTGGATGCATCGGTCGTGTGGATGGTGATGCTGTGGGAGAAGTTTTTGGTCGCGGTGTGACTGGTATTGGTGGTGTTTTTGGCGGTGGCTGTGTGGAGGTGGAGGTGGAAGCTCAGCGGACGACACAATGTGAGGTGGTAGTGGAGGTTGTTTGGATGCTGTGGTAATGTGAGGTGCTGAAGTGATGTTAGATGTAGTCTTGTCAGAAGGTGAATGCTGAAGTGCAAACACGCTGTCGCTGGTCTCTTCTGTGGGGCTGAGTGGTGGTTGCGGTGTATGAGGAGAACCTGGTCGAGTAGTGTGGGATGCTCGTGAGGAGTGTCTGGAGGTGCGCCGATCTGTGTGGCGACTGGGTGACAATGTTTTTGTGAGTACGCCGTGGCTGGCGTGAAGATCGGCGGTGAGATGTGTGACGTGGTTTATGGCTGTATGCTGGGTGACTGGTGTGGTGGTGGTGGCTAAGCTGTGTGTGGTGAGATGTAGTGGGAGAGCGTCTGCAAGATCTGGATCGTGTGTGGGAGTGTTTTGAGTGTTTTGAGTGATGGCTGCGCTTGTGTTGGTGTGGTGAGGGTGTACGCTGAGAGCATTTGTGTCTGTGTTTGCTTTCGCTTTTGCTTTTTCGCTGGGTAGAGGCGTGTCGGTGTCGCGGTGTTGAGGCTGTTGTTTGTTTGCGTGGTGATTTGCGGCGGCGACGGCGTGCCTTTGAGGTTGATCGTCTGGATGCCGTGCGGTGGTGAGGTTGTAATGAAGATTGTGAAGAGTGTTTGCGTTCTTGGAGATGTATTGGCTGATGGCTTGTGGAGCGGTGTTTTTCTTCTTCGGCTGATCGTTTTGGTGAAGGGGGCGTATTGGAACGATCAAAAGTGGTGGCGCCGGGTTTTGTATTGGACTTGTCAAGAGTGCTGGCGAGGCGTAGGACTTGATGGTGCAAGGTAGTGCGTATATGATGTAGCCTGAGGCATTGGTGGTAAAAAGTTTGTTGATGTTCCAGAGCTGTTTTCGCGGTAGGTAGTAAGGCTTGTAGCTGTTGTATTCGACCTTGTAGACGAGGATCCTGATTGAAGTTGTCTGACTCGGCAAGCTGCAATTGCTTGATGGTGTCATTGAGTCGATTGAGCTGTTGGACCATCAGTCGATTGATCTGAATGTTGGTGTCCTGCAGCTGCGAAATAATTTGAGCGTCCAATGCAATAATAGGGTCCATCTCCGTCGGTCAATGCAAAACTCTGTACGCGGAGAAACTTAGCGGCGATTGATCGAAAGCACAGCTGCGATAAACATGAAGTGTTGAAAAGAAGCTGTCGAAATCACATGATGGTCAAAATATAGAGGATGAAAAACTTCGCGCGCATATGCAATAAACAGAGCGAGTGAATTCCATGAGTCTGTACAAGTGCATCGCTGCAGTAACCGAGACAGTTGAGTGGGATTGTTCGTTTGTTTGATTGGGAAGTCGAGACAGTGGGTGTCAATTGTTGGCAAGTGAAAAACTGCATCTTTGCTTTTTGCTGCAACTGTGGAAGAGAGGTGCGTTGAAGCTCGCTTTGTTGGAGTCTGTTGCTCACAACTGCAAAGAGGAATCAACATTGGTGAACTGCAAAGTGAAGTAAATGTGAAAATAAGTACATAGGGCATCAGAGGAGCTGAATGTGGTTCATCAGGAAATAGTCCAAAACATAGTGCAAAGCATAGTCCAAATATGGTCGAGCAAGCTGTTTGATCGCATAGAGTATCTGGCAGTCTTGGTCTCATGAGTTGTCGTGTAAGTCTGCTGCATTGCCTGTCTCTGTGCGTTCGTTGAGTGGCGCTATGTCTTGTGCTGTCATCGCGCTAGCATCTCTGGTGGCTGGTGGTTCAGTCAATGCGGCGGCAGGAGATTTTGTGTCAGTGTTGTCTAGTGGTTGTGGTGTATAAAGTATCTGTAAAGTTTTCCAACGTGTTTTGCAATCACACGGTGTTTTGTTAAGAGTCTTGGCGATCTGCTTCCAACTGGGACGAGCTCGTTTGTTGAGCTTGAGTGATGCTAGTTTCTCGTCATCACTGGGTTCCCAACCTCCATTGTCGGGATATGGTGGGGATGGGAGTGGAGCCGGAATTGTCTGTCGTGGTGATGGTGGAGGTGGTGGTGGTGGTGCGGTGGAAGAGCTGCGCAAAGAAAAGGTGGCTGCAGGTGGGGGAAGATGCCGCTTGCTTGGGTCTGGAGGAGGTGTTGGTGGCGAATGTATTGTTGGTGGTTGTCGCGTTGGTGACTGCTGGTGAGGAGAAGTCGGTGTGTAAGAGGGTGATTGTGAAAGTTCTGGCTTGCATCGCGTGTGGAGTTTGCCAGTGGTTGGCGGTGGACTGCGACTGCGACGCGGGTCTGTTGTGGCTTTGCTGAGGT